ACAAACAAACAAACAGAAATGAATTAATATGAGAACATTACCACAATGTATTGTATAATTTGTCACAAAATCCAGTCACTGTTAATTTGATTGTTCGAGCCACAACTAGATTCAACCTACATTTATTTGTACTACTAATTTCTTATGTTTTTCTTCCAGCACTTACATTTGACAGGTACCTCTCTGCACGGGAATCTGTCGTCCCCAACTATAACCCCTTCCAGTCCTTCAATCCCGACCCCAAACCAGAATACAACGACCAGCTCATCCGTGCCACCAACATGGTTTGCTCCGCTGTTCGCTTCATGAAAACACTAAGAGCAGGAGTACTAGAACCTGACGTACTCCACCTGAATCCTGCTAAAAGTGACACAGACCAGTTCAAAAAGTTCATCCGCTGGGTTCCCTCTTCGCTGTCATGGTACGGGGCCTACTTGGTCAACGCATATCCTTTAGACATGTCCCAGTATTTCCGGCTTTTCAACTCTACCAGATTGCCAAAACAAGGAAGAGACGAACTGTTTACGGACGAGAAGGGGAGACATCTTTTAGTGATGCGGAAAGGCAACTTGTACACATTTGATATTGTCGATCGCGATGGAAATATGGTGAAACCGGCAGAGATTCACTCCCATTTGAAGTACATTTTGTCAGATGAAACCCCAGCAGCTTCCAGTCCGATTGGTGTCCTAACAAGTGAGAACAGAGACGTGTGGACAGGTTTAAGGGAGAAACTAATCGCCAGTGGCAATGGAGGACTTTTGCAGACTGTGGACAGTGCATTGTTTTGCCTCTGTCTTGATGATCAAGCTATGAAGGACCATATTCACATGTGTCACAACATGCTTCATGGAGATGGGTGCAATCGCTGGTATGACAAGTCCTTCAGTATCATCATCGCAAAAGATGGAAATGCAGCGATCAATTTTGAGCATTCATGGGGAGATGGACTGACAATGCTGAGATTCCAGAATGAAATCTTCAAAGATACAACAGAAAACCCAAATGTGAACCCTGGCTCTGCTCCTGCCACTGTAGATTCGGCCTCTGCTGTCCAAAGATTGCAGTTTAACTTAGACGGTGAATTGAAAAGTAGTATTCAAAAGGCCAAGGAGAATTTTGATGCAGCCGTATCAAAGCTGACCATAGATGCAATGGAGTTTAAAAAGGGAGGCAAAGAGCAGCTGAAAAAGAGCAAGTTGAGCCCAGATGCTATCGCTCAGTTGGCATTCCAGATGGGGTTTTTGAGGCAGTATGGACAAACCGTAGCCACGGTAGAGCCTTGTACCACGGTGGCATTTAAACATGGCCGTCTAGAGCTCATCAGAGCGGCCACCATTCACACCAAACGCTGCTCGCACGCTTTTGTCCATGAGCCGGGGAAGCACAGTGTACAGGAGCTGAGAGCCATGCTGAACGAGTGCTCCAAGTACCACAGACAGCTCATCAAGGAGGCAGCCATGGGTCAGTATTTCAAATGTTAGTCTCTTGGTTAGCAGCTAAAACAACTAGTTTGTTTAATTTATTGGGAGTGCGATGTACAGCATATGTATGTGTGTGCGCATATGCATATATGTATATATATATATATATGTGTGTGTGTGTGTGTGTGTGTGTATATATATGTGTGTGTATATTTATGTGTATATTACATATATATTAAATATATATAATTATATATACACACACACACACAGACATATACCCTAACCTCGTATTGTGTTCTTCCACCAGGCCAAGGTTTTGACCACCACCTCTCTGCCATGCGGTGCTTGTCCAACTCAAAGGGGCAGCCTCTGCACAGCCTGTACACAGACCCCACCTACAGCTCCATCAACCATAACATCCTGCTCGCCAGCACCCTTACCAGTCCCGCGATGAATGTAGCAGGGTTTGCTCCTGTGGTTCCGGATGGATTTGGGGTGTACTACGGAGTTCATGATGACTGGATTGGCTGTAATGTGTCCTCATACCCGGCTCGAAATGTGCATGAGTTTCTCCAATGTGTCCACAAGTCATTAGAGGACATTTTCACAGTTTTGGAAGGAAAACCATTGAGCTAACTAATCTGAAAAGCTAGAATACTGTATAAACAGGTTATTAAAAACAAAACATTTTAAAGTGAATGGAAAATGAACATACACATTTTCACTCCAGAAGATTGTTTCTGTACTGTAATAATTTCTTTGTGCATTTAGACTACAGCAGTAAATTAATGGTTTTAAAAGTGCCTTATCCAACTTTCTGCATCTTAAAGCAAAGTATTGTAATGTCATGTAAAATCATAATTACTTGTCAGCCTTACGGGTTTGCGTGAATAAAAATAAGTTTTCTTTACAAACAGGCATGTTTTCCAACATTTTATTTAAAATAAAAAAACAATTCCAATCAGATCTGAGAATGGGAAAATAGCTAAAGCACATAAAATAAGCAGAAATGAGAAAGACTTAGATTGGCTTGAACTTGAAGTGAAGTCCTATAAGAGAGAAAATGAGACATTTTTATTTTTTACAACAACTAGTAATTACCAATTAAGTAACATATATATATTACAAAGGTTGCCCAAGATTTGCATTTTTCATGTCTACAGTGGTTCCAACTACAAACATGGTTAACTGCTTGAATCACTATTATCAATTAAGAATATATTACACTGTGATATTAACCTTGGTAAATAAATGACTTTAAATACCTCTTTTCTGATCATAACGTCATTCTTGTAGTTACTGTTGTTTGCATACTGCCGTTTTGCTGAAAAAGAGATGAAAGAGACAAGATGTGTTGAAAACAGTAGTGCTACACTTTTCATTATCATTAGGTAGTAACAATCAGAGGAATGTATAGTCAGTCAAGCCTGAACAACCAGTGCTCATAAATTGCCCAATGCAGCTACAACAGTCTTGGAAAAAATATTGTTGACAACATTATGCACCACGTTTTAGAGAAATTTGTAGTAACTACTTCACTGCAGATAATCTTTAATACTTTCTTCGTGGGTTCTTTCTTTTTTCCAACAGGATTCCAACAGTATTCTAATAGGATATATCTTAAAAACAACAGGATTCCAAACTAAAAACCTCCCTTGTCAAATAAAAATACAAAATCCAGAATGTCAGGATTATTAGGATTATTTAACTAGGGAGTTGCTGTTTATCTCAACATCTCAGATGTGGTTCCTGGCTTGTTGTAGCTGGATCTCCTCGTCTTTAACTCATTATTCTATGGTAAATTAATTGATTAGGATATCTTAAAACATGGCTAAACTGCTCTCATTGAAAAGCATTAGCTGTATCCAGAAATGTGGACGTTTGATGCACGCAAGAGCAATAAGTATCAATTCACGGAAATACAGCAGCCAGCATTCTGACTATCTGCACAGGAGTATTGTGCCGTCAATGCACTACCAGAAGAGTCTGCCCAGGTAAGACAAGACAAAAAAATACAAAAAGGGTGAAATCAGGTAAAGTGGGCCACTTTTGGCAATTTCTTAAAATATAATGTCATAAAAATGTTTGTTGACATCAATGTAAACCTCCACATCAGTTTGGTTCTTAAAGAGTCACTAGTTTCTTATTTAGTAAAAAAATATTCAGTTTACTGTTAAATAATTTTATAAGAGTTCTTTAAATTTCAGCTCTTACTTTGTGGCCCAGTTAACCTAATACTGGAAAAAGGGTCCACGTGTGGTGGAAAAATGGACCAGAGACTGAATCTGATGCTCAATTAAATAACCATCAAAGAAATGTGTTTGTATTTCTAACTATAAAGTGTCCCGACTCCCAATTCCACTCATTTTATTGTGGGAGTCTTCTCTCTATAAATTCAGTTTCAGAAAGCGATAAATGTTTATTTTGTTATTATAATCCACTAAAATCCCGTTTATCTTTATAAGGACACCTATTAATTATTGCATTTATATAGCACCTTTCAAGATACCCAAAGCTCTTTACAGTACATTATTCATTCACTCCACACTCAGTGGTGGTAAGCTACTACTGTAGCCACAGCTGCCCTGGGGCAGACTGATGGAAGCGAGGCTGCCAATCTGCGCCATCAACCCCTCCGGCAACCACCATCACTCACACACACCACTTTCATACTAGGCAATGTGGGTGAAGTGTCTTGCCTAAGGACACAACAACAGTTTTCCCAATAGCGCCCCACTGTGGCACCAGGAATTCCCAGCGGTCTCCCATCCAAGTACTACCCAGTCCCGGCCCTGCTGCTTAGCTTCTGAGACCTGACAGGATCTCAGAAGCCGGTATGGCCATCCATCCATCCATCCATTTTCTTCCGCTTATCCGGGGCCGGGTCGCGGGGGCAGCAGTCTAAGCAGGGACTCAGGCGTTCCCAGCCCAGCCGAGAGACATAGTCCCTCCAGAGTGTCCTGGGTCTTCTCCGGGGCCTCCTCCCGGTGGGACATGCCCGGAACACCTCCCGAGGGAGGCGCCCAGGAGGCATCCGGAACAGATGCCCGAGCCACCTCAGCTGCTCCTCTCGACGTTGAGGAGCAGCGGCTCTACTCCGACCTCCCCCGTGTGACTGAGCTCCTCACCCTATCTCTAAGGGAGCGCCCAGCCACCCGCGGAAGAAACTCATTTAGAGTGCTTGTATCCGCGATCTTGTCCTTTCGGTCATTACCCAGAGCTCATGACCAGAGGTGAGAGTAGGAACGAAGATCGACCGTTAAATCGAGAGCTTCGCCTTTCGACTCAGCTCCCTCTTCACCACAAGGGTCTGATACAGCGATCGCATCACTGCAGACACTGCACTGATCCGCCTGTCGATCTCGCGCTCCATCCTCCCCTCACTTGTGAACAAGACCCCGAGATACTTGAACTCCTCCACTTGAGGCAAGGACTCTCCACCCACCCGGAGAGGGCAAGCCACCTTTTTCCGGTCGAGAACTATGGCCTCGGACTTGGAAGGGCTGATTCTCATCCCAGCCACTTCACACTCGGCTGCAAACTGCCCCAGTGCACATTGCAGGTCCTGGCCTGATGAAGCCTTCAGGAAAACATCATCCCGGTATGGCCACGATTTATATATTTATATCGATTTATGCAGTGCTTATGTTACTCAATTTAAACAAGGAAATGATATGCCTATAAGCCTTATTTTATTTTTACTGAAGTCATACTTGTTTTGCCAATGCAATAATTTGACATGTTTTGCTATCACTGTCCAAACAAGTGATTGGTTGTTGAATGTATCATCTCCAGACCAATCAAAACAGCAGAAAACATGTTCATGTGATGGAGTGGATGTTTCTGTTTCACTACTCTTCACTCTAAAACTTTTGTCCAGTTGTCAGAAATTTTCTTTTGGATCATACCTGGACAACTGAGGGATTACCCAGCTATACAAAATATTATCATCACATGAACACACTGTAACTCATACAAATGCAGAAACAGTTAAATGGACTGACTTTGTTGTTCCTAGGTTGCCAATACCCAAACTAGAGGACACTATTAGAAGATATTTAGCTGCTCAGAGACCTCTTCTGGATGACGACCAGTTCAGGTAAGTTTGAAAAGCACTGAGTCAATGAATAATAAAATACACACTTCTGACTGACATTTGTTCTTGCAGAAACACAGAGAAAATTGCAGAAGATTTCAAGATTGGAGTGGGAAAACAATTGCATAAAGAACTGGTCGCTCAGGACAAAAATAATAAACACACAAGCTACATCTCAGGTACAACTGCCTTTCTATTATGAAACAAATACCAGTGTGAAGTGGTTTAACAAAACTAAATCTAAAAACTTTAGCTGAATGACTGTGGTGTAAACTAATGTAAAATATAAGTTTCCCATTTAGACATTCTTGGATAGGATAACTACTAATAACATGAAAAATCAAATTCATAAAATGTTATGAACTTGTGGCAACAGGGGAAGTGTTTTCTGATGTTTGAGGTACTAATAAAACCATTCTAAAGTCTTTGAAAATATAATCATCCATACAGATTTACTACACACACAGGGTCAGTTTGGACCTTTTTGTTGGACTTGCAGGTGTGTCGTCACCACTAGGCACAAAAAGCGCACTTGGCCAGTGCTGTCCTGTCAACAGGATTGAACTGAGCGTCTACATAGGCGGGACATGAATGACAGCTCACCTCACCATTGGCAAATTGACAAATGTTTGCACTGACAGTTTGATTCAGTTTACTGAGTCATGTGTACTAGTATTGAAGGAGGTAAGTGATATTAAAGATTGGAATTAAAAATTCTACGTTAAAGCAGAACTCATGTGGCCTTTGTGAGTTTTTGGCTTTTATTTCTGGGGGAGTGCTCAACCAGTGTTGAGAAATATCACCAATTCAGTATTATCAATTAACTAAATTGTTTCATTAATTAATAATTAATTAAACTATTATTCTGAAAGTTTGTAAATTCTTGTCCATATCTGGAAATAACTAGTGCTGTCATGCGATTAAAAAAAAATTGAGAGATTAATTAATTATGATCTGTAATTAATTAAAAAAAGTTTGAGATGTCAGTCACGGTGTGGTACAGGGGTCCAATGGTTTGGAGATCTGAAGTTCTCAGGGCGTCAGGTCTGAAGAATCAAACAAGCTGGGACGGATGCCACGAGGCCACGTGATCTAACAATACTCCAAGCTCATGCTGCGTCAGCCTGAAGGAACACTGTATCCTCTGTTTAAAGAGGAGCAGAAGATACCTTCCTACTGTCCATGAGATCTGGAGAAACACTGGTCACAGATTAAGGCCAATTAAATCAAAAAGGCACTGGCTACAAAAATGCAAATATTTAAATTTGGAAAAATATGAAAGCTTCGCTTTTGGTCAGATCAGCTGCAGTAATTTTGAAAAAAAAAAATTTAAATGTCAAAAGACGGGCACAAATATGCAAGAGACGGCACATGGGGTGTTTCTCACAGTTTCATAGGTCAACCTGTAATAATACACATGACACAACAAGTTTATCAATGAGGGTGTCAGACAAATCATTTAGATTAGAATGACTTCACTACAACTTCTTTTAAAGATCATCTGTCCAATTCTGACAGTCTTTGAAGACTAAGGCATATACTGCATCTGTTAAAATAAAGGAGACTCATTTGAAAATAATACACTCATTACTCTGCCCCAGGTCTTTTGGTCACATGTCAAAAGTAAACATGAAAATTCCCCTAGTCCATTTGACATAATATATGGACTCTTTTTCAGAAATATTTGTTAACATGGTATTGCTTGCTCTCAATCAAAAATGGGAAACTGCCTTCACCTGGTTTCAAAATACTGTTGTTTTGAACAAATGCTTTTTATAATGTATTTATTTGGAATTTTATTTAGTATGACAGAGGCTGAAGAAGGGTGGGTGAGTGAGAAAAGATGCTGCTTTAGTTCAGTTTAGTTTGAGATTGTGACCTTGCACAATATGCATTGGCCTTGACCAACAGGAGACATGCACTGTAGTCGGTACGTGTGCTAATTTCCACCTGCAGTCCCTGGGGAAACTCATGTTATAGTTCATTAAATCAAACATTCAAGAAAAATGCCATTACAATGACCAGACTTTGCAGCAGAATGAAATCAATGTGTGGTCTCCATCAGTACATTCTTTCTTTTCCTAAACTGCACTCCCTTTCCAGAACACACATTTATAACACAAACAAACAAACAAACAAACAGAAATGAATTAATATGAGAACATTACCACAATGTATTGTATAATTTGTCACAAAATCCAGTCACTGTTAATTTGATTGTTCGAGCCACAACTAGATTCAACCTACATTTATTTGTACTACTAATTTCTTATGTTTTTCTTCCAGCACTTTCGTTTGACATGTACCTCTCTGCACGGGAACCTGTCGTCCCCAACTATAACCCCTTCCAGTCCTTCAATCCCGACCCCAAACTAGAATACAACAACCAGCTCATCCGTGCCACCAACATGGTTTGCTCCGCTGTTCGCTTCATGAAAACACTAAGAGCAGGAGTACTAGAACCTGACGTACTCCACCTGAATCCTGCTAAAAGTGACACAGACCAGTTCAAAAAGTTCATCCGCTGGGTTCCCTCTTCGCTGTCATGGTACGGGGCCTACTTGGTCAACGCATATCCTTTAGACATGTCCCAGTATTTCCGGCTTTTCAACTCTACCAGATTGCCAAAACAAGGAAGAGACGAACTGTTTACGGACGAGAAGGGGAGACATCTTTTAGTGATGCGGAAAGGCAACTTGTACACATTTGATATTGTCAATCGCGATGGAAATATGGTGAAACCGGCAGAGATTCACTCCCATTTGAAGTACATTTTGTCAGATGAAAACCCA